AGTTGACTTCTCACTTCAAACTACCGTGATCCCACTCTATGTCATAGTCGGCCACTTCACAGTACTCACCTCACCTTTTTCTACCGTTTCTAACTTCGTCTTTGAAACACTCTTCTGTCCTTCCCCCTCTAGAATTTTTTTCATTTTGATGTTCCTCCTCCTCTCTGCGTAGCCTCAAGTCAGCTAAATGGCTAATGATAACTATCAAAACGCCTGCCATTTGAAATAAATAAATAATTTCCATTTACTTTCACCTCCAACTTGAAACAGGAAATGAAAATAAAAGGAATGATAAGATCTCAGATAGCCACGAAAACAGGTAACTACCCAAAAGATTCCATTGCATTTATAAGCCTCAGGAGTAATCGGAGTAGACTAGTAACCTTGCGAGAACTTACAAAGGGGACCACTGGAGAGGCAACACGGTATAAGATCAATTTGACCACTGAGTGGGATGAGCCATACTTTGGGAAACTGGTTGTACTCGGCTTTTTGTCTTTGTTTTCAATTATTGCATATCTCATACACTTTATGCCCTCTACTATTAACCCGCTTTATCCATGAAATGTACTTTAATAAAGATTTATTTAGACGTACGTTTGCTATTCTACAAGGCGCATAAGTTTGGAGTTCGATTATCAATCGTATTTATGCATAAGAACTATTGCCAAGAGATCAGTCCTTCAGACTAAACACACAGCAAAATTGTGGGACAACGAACGTACTAATCATGTGCTTTCCATTTTTTAAAATTTTATTAGACCATCTTATTTATTTGAACACCTATAGGTAAGAAACATTAACAGATTAGGTTTTCGTGCGTTGATCATGATTGATCATTTCTGGAGCATAGAAGTTGTTTTCGACATATCTTGCTAATTAACACAAGATCTTATAATCAATCACACACTGAATCATCTTCTAAAACAATCCCTGAGAAACTCCAAAGTTGGGGTAACTGGGTTGACTAGGGTAGACGTATTAAAATACGCAGAACCTGGGGCACCCGAGGAGAAACTAGTGTGAGCAAAATCAGAATTTGACACAGAGATGATCGTTTTAAGTTGTTTCGAACACGAAAATATCTAGACCGACCTCTTTGCTTCTTACCTTTAGCACTTAATAATGCTAGTAGTTGATTAAAAAAATATAGATTCGGAAATTTATCTTCGTAACGACAACTTCAATTTTATCTCAGACCTGTTTTAATAAAATCGAAGGTGATCACTATCCATTTATGAGGTCATCCAAATGAGTTCACAGATTATTCAAAGCACTAAATTATACAATCGAAGGACCAATGAAGGCAATGCCAATTCGTTGTGCTCTTTGACAGCACATAAAAATTTTCATAAAGAATTATAGTGTACACACCCTTGAAGGCGGTGGCTCATCATGATGTTGCCACAGAAATATGCCACACGTGCAAATTCTCCGCCCCAAGGGGTGTGCACAGAAGAAAATTCTAAAAAGTGAATAGAATTGAAAATGTGTAAAGTGGTAATAAAGTAAGATGAGTACATTTCTGGGATTATTTGAGTTGAGAAATACCCTAAGGTAGACAATGGAATCATGGACTTAAAGAAAGCCGTGAATTGCAAATGAGTGGTAGCTATGGAGTCCAGACAGTCGTAAATTGATAGAAATTGGCGTCAATACGCCGTATTCATTTTACTAGAAATATGACAAAGTACAGTTACTTTTTTATGCCCGCTATTCCAACGTCTTGGATGAAAACCCCAAAGGGAATACGTCTTGACTACGTCACATGCTAGTTTATTGCGTAAATTGCAATCGCTTGCACTCAACATCAGGGGAAAGCCAATGGTACTCGAGTCACTGTTGTTCAGTGCTTTGACGAGAAGAGAGCAAATACTAAGATTTTTGTATGAACCCTAATAAGCCTTGTCATATAAGTTGGAATAGTCTCAGTGTTTTATTCTAAGGGGGGGGGGGAGAGATGCACTGTAATTGGCAAATGAGTGCTGGATATTGTGTTCATGAATTCGTTAAGGGATTCAGTTGATAAATATTGGAGCTTGTACCACAAATTGAAGTGTTGAGGCGCCCATTGAGAAAATAATCTAAAATTCGGATATGGTCGGATATGGTAAGGCCTTAAGGCATTTAAAGCATTCTCAAACACAATGTGAAATATACAGTAAGAGTGATTGAAGGCAATGTATGCGATGAAATCGACTGCCGGAACTGTTCCTTGCATATCTCGCCCATTAGAGATTCCATATTTGGCAACCTTATTTTTTGTCATTAAAAGATAGTCCACTATTAATCTCATTCGTGCTTGTAGATAACCCTTACTCTAGATCTGCATGCAATGTTTAGCTGTAGAGTCGTTCTCGATATAATACCCAATATAATTCAAAATTCGAATAAGGTAAGGCCCTATTAAGACACTTAATCTGTTCACCACTTCCACTAGCTACCACTTATCTAACTATAATGTCTAGCGTTTCTGCTTATAAGACGTAGATTATGCTGTTCAAGAGTCCTTGAAGAACATTAGTTACTTAACAGAAGATGTAATGCTAAGGAATTGGTCATTTTTCCAGCTCAACGGAAGAAAAATTCATTTTATTTGAAGTGGGTTCATGCATTGTATGTTTCTTCAGCATTTTCTCGCAATAATGTTTAATTGAAAGGTGGAATTTTGTCTTATCGGTAATGAATTGAGCATCTGTCTTGTGCGCCAAAAAAGTCTACTTTGACTTCTTTAAACTGAAACAATTAGCGTTGCCGACGAAGGATCTTTCCATTTCCTCGATGGCTAGTAGATTTTAAATTTTCTTTTTAAGAACTTCCATGTCAATTAACTCTCTAATTTACGAATGTTAAAACTGTAAATACAAATACTTTTTTCTGCCTAAACACTGTAAATCCACATAATGTCTGATGGTTTTTTTCCTCTACAATGAGCTTATACTCGCTGTTGACTGTTTCGAAATAATCGAATCGAAGTATTTCATCCGTCTGATTTTCAAGTTCAAATATACTAATGAAGTTAACAATTCAAGTTAGCCATTATCGTTCAGCCTGTAACTTGATCGTAAGGGTAAAAAGTATTTAATTTGGGAGAAAGAGGATCTAATTTCATCAAGTGGTCAACAGATCCTAGGTATTATGGACACGAAGTTAATTAGGAAACCCAAGAATATGAAGCATTAGGAGATAGAGTGTCTAACCATACCCTTCAAGCAGAAAGTGTTCAAAATAGGCCCCAAAGGTTACATGAACTTGAATCCTCTTGAGATTCTGTCCTGAGCTAAACCTAGTCACTCTTGATCAGATATTTTTTCTCCACCTGATTAACATTTCTGTTTGGTTATCTCTATTTCTGACTTACTGGAGTATGCGATAGACTTACCTCCACGTGGTGCACCCTGGGCAACGTATAATCATAAGGCAAAAAAGTCTATAAACCGGCAGTCGAATTCTGACTTCAAACTACCATCACCCCTCTGTATGTCATATTCGACTACTTTCACAGTACTTACCTCACTTTTTTCTATCTTTGTGTCTGTCTATTTTTCATCTTTGAAACACTCATCTGTTCCACCCCCTCCACTCTCAACCTTTTTTTACTTTGATGTTCCTTCCCCTCTGTGAAGCCTGTAGTCAATTAAAACTGTTAATGATAACCATCAAAACGCCTGCCATTGAATATAAATAAATAAAATTCTGACTTACAAGCTTCACCTCTAATAAAGTTTTATTTTACTTAAACATTATTCAGTGCTTAACATTATTAGTTGCTTGAATCGGAAATATCTCTCTAGAAACCCACCAATTGCACTAGTATATAATTTAATTATTTATTCTTGGAATCCAATAAACTAACCTAGCAATAAAATACGCATAAATGCTTTTTATCTCAAATTTTATTCTTCTCATTCTTCCTATTATTATTATTACTATTATTATTAATAATTATATACAATCCATTCATTAATTATGAAACCAGTGAATGTAACACAAAGAAGCAATTTCTGGTATGAAAATTTTTTGCCTACAATACAGCAAGCGTTTCAAGAGAAAAGATGACATAAACTTCGCGGTGGCTTAAGGAGTTATTATGCCACCGGCATAGTTCCTGAATTTAGCCAGAAAAGTTTCATTTGGCGGATTCTTCATGAATGGTATAGTGCGATCAATCAAACCATCAATTCGATTAGGCTTATCTAATCCCAACAATGCACAAATGAAAGGGTAAAGGTCAATCTGATGGAATAGTTGTCTTTCTTTAAAATTTTGGATATCCGGGCCTGCTGCAACCATGAAAGGGTGCATTTCAGGATTCGCATTATCATATCCATGCATTCCATCTGAAAGAGCAGAAATAACCTTCATATTTGACGTAAAGAAACGACAAAGAGGAAGGTGTAACTTACATAAATCGACATAAGGTGAATCCCTAGTACTGATCAACCAACCTTGATCAGCAACCACGAATATGGGAGCGATTCTGCGGTTATTTTTATAGTGATATCGATCTGGAATATCCTTCCTCAAATATGCAGTTATATGCTCTATGTTATCAAAGCGTTTAAGAAAATCCTCTTCTGTGAGATTAGTGCCATTCTTTGGCCATAGACCTAGCGTTGCTGGAGAGGAATCAAAACGAAAGACGTCCTTATCCATAACATGTGACAGATTAACTGTCTGCGTATTACAGTCAGTGTAAGCCATTCCGTGGTCAGAGGATATGATGATATTGACATTATCCTTGAGTTCGGGAATCTGGTCAATTCTCTGCAGAAGATAGGAGACACCTTCATTTGTCAATTCAACAGCATCCATAACTTGAGATGAATTTGGACCATAACTATGTCCCGCACTATCCGGTTCGTTAAAGTAAAGCATACAAAGATTAAATTCAGGTTGCAATAACCAGTCCAACATTCTATCAATTCGATTAAAAAGAGAGTATGCCATATTGTAGACACCAGCAGTTGCAAAAGCTAAGCGATTGTGAACTCTTGCTTCACTGCCAACCCACTGGACTACACAACTTCTTCCTCCATGACGTTCATTAGTGTTCCAAATAGGTTCGGCACCGCCAAACTCAAACCACCATGACTGTATATTTTTTTCGTTTTTCTTATAATTGTAGGCAAGACCATACCTTGGATCAAAAAAGTTGTTGCCCACCAGACCATGGTTCTCAACTGTTCGACCAGTGGCCATAGCATAGTGTGAAGGGAACGTTAAAGTCAGCATAACATTTTGTACTTCAGCTTGAAAGCCCTGTTCACGGATGGCTTTAAAGGCGGAAATGTTTCGACCCTCTTTCTCAGCCATGTCGAGGTAGTCATGTCGAAAGCCATCAAAGGAAATGAAGATGACCTTTTTTGCACCATAACTGACCTGCACAAGACTCACAAAGAGTATGGATAAGCATAAAAGAAGGGTTTTTAGCATTATCATATCACATATGAATGCCTTCTCAAGTGGAGTTTTTATATACGTTAGCTTAAAGTGGGTGGTTAATGATAGGTGGTTCATGAAGGTCAAGATTACATATAAAAAATTGAAAAAACCAATTATCTTCCTGTTTTCTAAAAACTCTCCTTTTTTGAGTTATATAATTTGAATTTGATTTTTGGCTTGTTTATATTATTTTCTAAATGGTTTTAGGAAATATGATTTTGTTTTATCGTTAAGACAACTGGGATTACTGATCGGAACTTTAAAATCTCAGTGAATTCTTCTGAAACCCTCAGCAGGACCTGTTAATGACAATGTTTAAGTTTAATTGGGTTCATTTGATTGACTCGCGTTTGGAATTGCATTTGAAGTCCACTGAAACACAATTTGGAAGATAAATTAAAAATGATTTGAGCCAACAAATGTGATTCGGTGAAATCGATATTAGGTATTGCTCCCATCATACCCCTCTCATTAGAGGTGGGATATTTGGCGACCTTATTTAACCCTCAAAGATATTCCTTTATTGGGCTAGTTTTAGCTTATCTGCGGCTAGGTAACCTAGACCTTTGTGTACCTGTGTATAGTACCATGAATCTAATCTTGGAGGAGATTGTATATCCTAATTTGGTCAAGTTTGAAGAAAGATTTTAGAACCCCCTAAACGTCTTTACTGCACAAGGTTTGATCTAATAGTCATTACTTCAAAGGTTTAATTTAACTTGGTGTGGAATGCATAACGCTGCCAAGGCTGAATAAAGAAATCTCCTATGCACTCGAACAATGTCAGACTATGCACTATTCACTCCATAAGCTCTGGTTCTTCCACGTCGTTGAGGTTACTCAGTTGATTTCGAAGGTAGTTTCATACTTAGGGATTTTACTGGGGAGGATATTGTTGGTATTTACTACTTACAAATATCCTGAATCTAATTAATACAGCAACATTTTTAACTTCACATGTACACTCTTTAAGAAGTTACTGCAGATTGCTACACAAATAAAGTTTAACTAATCTTCAGTAATCTCTATGGCAAAAATCTCTTACATAGGAGGACTCATGAACTTTTCTAAGCTACCTCGATGATATAGAGGAAATAGACGGATGATGTAGAGAACGTTTAGTTGAGCTGTGAGACACTGGCACAGAGATTAATCCCTTAAAAAGTAATCAAGGTTTTGCTAAATACAGTGGTGAATTTTGGTTGAGAGTGGCCTGAATGCACTTGAGATATTTTGCTTAGCAATGCTAGCGTTGTATACTCCGCAACACCAAAGGACAATATCAACCCATTTCATTTTAAAAATTGAGTTAGCGAAATTAAAAAGGCCGAGGAGCGATAAATGAAAACAAATGATTCTGAAAAACTATCTTTACATTGCATAGAATTTTTATTAGATTGTCTACGCTCTCCAAGCTAGAAGTATTTATATCAAATGGCAGGCGTTTTGATAGTAATCATTAGCCCTTTAGTTGACTTCGGGCTTCACACAGGGGAGGAGGAACATCAAAGTCAGCAGAATTCGGGAGGGGGGATAGAAGAGTGACTCACAGATGTAAAAGAAACAGGCACAAAGGCTCAGAAAGGGTAAGATGTGTACTGTGAAAGGGGTCGAATATGACATACAGTGGGGGTGATGGTTGTTTAAAGTGAGAAGTCAACTGCCGGTTTACAGACTTTTTTTGCCATATTAGTATACGTTGCCCAGGGTGCACGACGCGGAGGTAAGTCTGTCCCACACCCCCCAAGCTAGAAGTCAATTCATCTTCTTCTAAACTTATTATACAATCTGACTGGAAAATTAACTACAATGACACAAACTCATTGTATTAAGCAGAAAAATGTGCGTACATTTTATTATTTTTAACCTCATAGTGACTATGTTTATGGCACAATTCATATGCCTTAAATTGATCTACCTTTTACTAGGCATTTGCAAGTAAAATTATGGAGTTTCTTGTTTTAATGCATCTACTCTACCTCAGTCCTCTCAATCTTGCTTTTCTCTTTATCATCAGAGACCTTGAGTCAATACGGTGCTCTCGCGGCGTTTGTTTGATCTGACTAAAAGACATCTGATCCACATGATTGTTCACATACTCAGCGTAACTGCATTTTCCACTTAGAAAACTTTTTATAGCGTACCCTTTTTTCGCCAACTCTCGAGTTCATCTCGAGCCAAACAGAAACGGTAACATAATACCAATATTTTGAAACTAGCGGTTGTTTCTAAATTAAATGGGGACCGGAGCGACACAGACTTAAGAGTTACATCATATATTATTAGTAGTAAAAGAAAAAATTATTATTATTCTTTATTATTTATTTATTTATCAAATATTTTTATTAATAGCAATGTTAATAAACCAGTCAAATTAACGGTTGATGGGTAGGAATAAAATAGACATTTGCCTTATAATGATATCAAAATTAAATAAAACGTAGTAGAAGGTGAAAAGTTTGCAATGAACTGTTTGATTGGTTTGTGGAGTGCATAACAAAGAAATCCCAACCGTATTCCGACAGTCTGAAGGTGCAGGAACCTCTCAGCCAGTCAGCAATCAAAGTCGCTACACTTTTAGATAGTACCAATAGTTGAGAAAGCTTCGCTAACTTCGGAAAAACTATTAAGTTGGCAACTAAGTCATTGCCGATTTCAAATAAGAAGGCAAATTCGGAATTTTTGTTTAAAAATATAACTTTATTCAATTAGATATTGGCCGTTCTTGTCGATGACCTTTTCCAGCGTTCTGGCAGAGTAAAAATTCCCCGCTCGTAAAATGTCTGGTCTTTGCTATTAAAAAACTGAATTAGGTGTGATCCGACATCATCCGCGTTGTTAAAAATTTTACCATTTAAAGAGCTTTGCATGGAACGAAACAAATGGTAATCCGAAGGCGCAAGGTCAGGGCTATATGGTGGGTGTGACAAAACATCCCAACCCAGTTCCAATAATTTTTGCCGAGTAACCAAAGATGTGTGGGGGGGGGGGCCTTGCGTTATCATGATGGAAAACAACACCCTTCCGATTTGATAATGCCGGCGGCCGCTTATCTTCAATTGCATCCTTCAGTTTTTCGAGTTCTTCAACATACACATTTGAATTTATCGTTTGGCTCTGCGGCATGAGTTCAAGATACAAAATTCCTTTGTGATCCCACCAGACTGACAGCATTATCTTTTTTTGTTGAATCTCTGCTTTTGATACTGTTTGGGTTGGTTGATCTTGCTTCACCCATGATCTCTTGCCAGTAACATTGTTATTAACTATCCACTTTTCGTCGCCAGTAACTAGGTTCTTCAGAAATGGATCATTCTCATTGCGTTTCAGTAGCGGCGAATCACAGATGCTAATCCGTTGCGTCAAATGAATTTCCTTTAACTGGTGAGGGATCCATAAATCAAGTTTCTTGACATAACCAAGGGTTTTTAATTTGTTTTCAATGCATGTATGCGACACATTGAGCTTCTCTACAATATCTCGTGTTGTGCTGTGACGATTTGAATCGATAATGGCCTTGACATGGGTTTCATCCACTTCGACTGGGCGGCCAGATCGTTGTGAATTTTTCAGTGAAAAATCACCGGAACGAAATCTTTCAAACCAATTTCGACACTGCCTTTCTTTTAAGGCTTCATCTCTATATACGGCACATAACTTCTTTTGTGCTTGCGATGCGTTCTTGCCTTTTCGGAAGTAATACAATAAAATGTGTCCGAAGTGCACGTCCTGTTCTTTCATTTTTAAATTGGGATAAAAACAAACTAAAGAACTAAACAAAAAACATTTTTTACTAATTAACCTAGAAGCCCATACAGTAAAAAAAAATATAGGTTAAATGCTCTGACCACGTTAACAAAACAAAAAAAAGTATAGAGTGAATCCGTCAACAAAAACGACAATGACTTAGTTGCCAACCCAATACATTTTGGGAGATTTTGACTCTCCGATTACTGAGGTTTATTCAAGGCTTATTTTTGTAGCAACTTGTATAACTATAACTTGTATAATAAATTCATATTAGCAAGCGTATTAACATGCCAATAGTTAATATAAGCAAATAACCACAGCGTTTTCATAAGTAAATATTCTTGGAATTGTGGGATACGTTATCGCTTTGTGCGTCATCACATGTCTGCTCGCCAGGATTGGAAGGTGCGGCCGTACAACTTTGTGTGCAGCGACCATACAAACAGTGACCAATCATCAACCTCTGTTTGTTTAATCTAATCCCCCATCCTGATCATGGGTAGCTCCTCGCGCGTACACTTTATCCGCAATTTACTCACTGAACGGACGTGCTCCTTGCTACGCGTCTGTTTCCTTTCATAGCTGGGCTATAGCTTAGCTGATTCTGGGAGTCTAGCCGGATGTAGGATAATCTGCCATAGATTTCTCGGGAGTCTAGCTAGATGTTGGAGAATCTGCCATAGAGACTTGTCTAGCCGGATGTAGGATAATCTGCCATAGAGATTTCTGAGTCAGTCAGGCTTTGCTAAGGTAGCAATCCGCCATCGACTGAAATTATTTTTCCCCAAAATGCGACATTTGGAAACAAATTGAATTCAGATGATAAAATATATTAGCTTATTTAATAGTCTCTTTAACAGAATATATGTCTTACTAGGAGTTTACGGCTTGCATTTTACGCTATTATTTCTAATATTATACCTTGCAAAGGAATCTTTGCTTATTTTCAAACGTCAATGACAGGCATTTAAAAAGGCTAATAACAAAAGGCGAGTAATACTAAAAGGAAACTTAAGAAGTAGCTAAAAATAAAGATGCATTTAACAATGGGACAAAAGAGTATGATACAGGTAGTTATCCTGAAATCACACGATCTGCTTGTGCAAATTGGTTTGGTCAAGCTGGAAGCCACTTACCTCATAGCTATCTTTACACGATAAAAATATGTCTACTTATATGGGTGTAAGTAGAAATATCACAATAAATTTAAACAGGCAGAATTAATTGCGGGGCATGATCTCATCAAGAACGCAATGCATATTGGGAGAGGAAATTCATATTTAGTTCACAAGAAATTTCAACAGTATAAATCTTCCTCTTTCAATTAAGAGCTTTGCTAGGCAATTGAAGAAAAAAAACAATTTGATCGAAGAGGAGTGTGTGATCTATTTAGCATTCAATATCTTAATTAATTTCACAATTCCAGAATTTTATCAGATTATTTCCTAAAATTACTTCTGACACTTGGAGAACAGGCATTTTCGCACTCTTCAATGTTCCGAAATCGATTTCCATTTCCACCACAGCCACCGTAAACAAACGGAACACAACGACCCACCGATTTATCAAATGCCCAACTTGGGAAATAGGCTAGACAATTTCCACGCTTGATAGGTTGATTGCAGACAGCTAGATAGAGAAATGGAATAATTAAGGTATATATTCGCTGATGGGAGAATAAAACACGATATGCTCTGAAGTTGAAGTTCAAGAGACGCTTCGATAAGCTCCAGTTACCGAGGTAAATTTCCTGGTCACTCATCTATTAAAATGTACAAGTTGACTATATAGGACAAATTGATAAGCCCGCGCTAATGATCATATCATTGGAAGTAATTCAACGAAACCATGCTTGATTTTTAACTATTGGTGGACTGTGTGCAGATCATTGGTAAAGAGAGCATATTTCGAAGATTTTGGTTACCTAACACTCTGGCTTGGTTTATTCCAGGTCTGATTTTTAGGGTTTCATTCTGATGTTCGTATTTATGAAAACATCTTTATAGCGCAATTTTTCTAATTTTGTATCTTACAGAGTAGCCTTAACTAGGGTTGTTACGTAAGCATATGTAAAAATTCAAATTCTTCTGATTTTTACTTATTTTGATTTTCATTGGTCAATTTAACTGCACTACATCATAATATTACCTTGCCTTAGACGAGACCACAGATATTATCAAAAGCAATTGTGCAAAAGTAGTAATTAGGCAAAGACTATTCTTTGGAAATTGAAAAAAATAGAAATAAGAATTAAAAAAGAAATATTGAGATGAAATCAAGAATTACCCATTCGGTTGGTACGACTGTTGCCTAAAAAATAAATAGAATGCCAATTTTCGAAGTAGAAAACGAAAGTGAAGAAAATTAAAATTTTGAGATGTGAATTAATGTCATTACAGCGAATAATTTAAAAATGCTCATAAAATAGCAGTGAAGAAAAGAAGAGAGGTCAACTTCGAAGCATTGTGAAATTCAAGTTGCCTTGGAAAAATTGTGAAATGTGCACGGTTTTAAATTAGCTTGAAAGAAACATAATAACTAACTAACCGCTATTTCTGGTGAAAAAGAGAAACGAAATAAAGTGTAATAGTGGTATGGAAAAATTATTTAATAATTCGCGTATTTTCATTTTCTCCCTCTAGTAAGTGGATTAAAATCATTTTGGAGTGTAATCACTTGGAACTTACATCGACAAGTAGCGAGTAGACTTAGAAAAATTACAATCATCTGCTTTGACATTCTGCTGTAATTTGTCTGAAGTTCATATATTTTGTGAAACACACGCCCTTATATATAGTCTTCTTTGGGGACAGAACAATAGTACAAAAGTTCGCAATTACAACAAAGTCGTGCACACGGAGATCCCTATGACAAGTGTCGAACACAAACATTCCACAAAAAGTTCAAAAAGAAAGTTCATGCCTTTCGTTTAAAATTGACTTTGGAAGGTTTTAATAACACAAACTGTACTGAGATTAGAAGCGCAATTTATATTCATGTAATTTGTCAAAATTCATTATTAAGCAGATGATTTGGAAAAATTTGCAGTCCCTGAAAAAGCCATAAAGACAAAGTGCGTAATGGAATGGGAGAGGTAAGTTGTTAGGCTTTGGACAAAAATCGATATCTCATTGTCTTAAACGCATTTTTATTAGTGATCATTGCATTCGCAATGAATATAATTTAGAGACCGCGTTGATAGCAAGCAATATTGAATATTAATGATGAACTATGATATTTGTTCATCGGTTTAATAAGAAGGGTCTAGTATGAATAATAATTAAATCAAAATTTGCCTGCTTTCGAAAAAATTTGAAGGGCTTCCAGAGTAGACATTTGTTTATTTGTAAGTAATATGCCATTGGTTTCACAAGTCAATTTAATTCAAATTCATTGTAGTAATATTACTTTTGTAAAGTATGAGCTTTGGTTTTCTGTCGTCAGCTGTAATTAACTCAGACTCAAAGTGCGATTGCTAAAATCCGTTGCATTAATTTTACTAATATTAGATTAGGTTAATGTTACTGATGACAGAATTCAATCCACCTCTTAGTCGATGTTAGGTTTTATAGAGATAAATTGAACAATCTTTAGAATCATTGCAAGTCTTGTGGATCATGACTAAGCTCCATGCATGTACATTTTACTCACGTGTGCTTCCTTTATAGCTGGGCTATAGCTTAGCTAGTTCTTGGAGTCTAGCTAGATGTAGGAGAATCTGCTACAGAGATTTCTGAATTAGTCAGGCTTTACTAGTGTAGCAATCAGCTACAGTCTCAACTTATCATACATTCCCGGAATTGTTCATTTCTAAATTAAAAATTTTCCTATGGCTTGTCTACTGAAAGGCCGCTTATTACTATTAGTAGAACTTAAAATAGCATAAATGCTAATTTTCAAAAATAAAATTGATTTATTAAATGTCTAAATTATTCTTTATTGTAGTGCACAATTAATAAAAGCCGCACGGAAAATTTTCAACGAAGTGCAAGACATTCGTTTATCAACAATGCAGTTCAGATTAGAACAATCGATCTGACTACCTTAACTTGGTTTCGATGTTACATAAACTACCTCACAAATTCTGTAAGCAATAACTTCTTATGACGATAAGAACTTTAGTTTTGTAAGCCTCTATTATGTAGGCTCAATAAGTAGTGTTAGAGAATGTGCTTACTGGGTAGGCACTGTTAGTTATTAAAAAAATGAAATTTTACTCTTATAGACAAGTAAATTAATCAACCTTTGCTTGGGTCCATTATAAGCAATGCATTACTATTATATCAACACATTAATTCAACTTACAAACTAGAACGCCTTCAGTTTATAAGTCATTAAATTTTTGTCTAGAGCACTTTCGCAAATAATCGATTCTATTTTTTCCCATTGGTTATAAAAAACTCATTTAGGAAAAAATTGAAGCGAAAACAATATTTAAAATATAATGACGAATAAAAGAATCTTTGAACCAGAATATGAATGCAAACATATTACATATATATTGCCAAAATTAATTGAATCTTGCAATTTAGACCGTGATTCAGTTTAATCAAATTTTTTAATGATAATAAAATTATTTTAATTATCACCATTACCAGTGATAAAAATAATTTAATTTGAATGTATAACATGTGGGTTATCTTCCGATTTATGTTACTGAGCATTACTAGTAATTTTCGACTTAGAGCGATGAAACAGTAAATTAGATAATTTTTCGATGTAGTTAAGTGAAGGTCAATTAAAAACATCAAATTTCAAATAAAGGAAAAAGAAGCGAATTCAAAAATTCTGTCCATGACGAGTGTGATTTCATTCTTATAGTACTAGATTTATTCATATTTCATAATAACCCAAAATACATTCCCTTTTAGATTAATGTTCGTATTTGCATAGAATCCACCAATCACTTAAACAGAAATTTGGCCATGATTTACAACTAATCATGTACATTTTCACCCTAAATCAATTGCTAATATAGATTGGAACAAATAATAACGATTTTAGACGTTCAAAAGCTTACATTCACAAACTTGTAAACTCGTTAAAGTACGTGGTTGAAAAAGAACTGCGAAAATATTGCGATTGTTATTATAACAGTGAGAAATATTCAGAAATCGGAAATAAATTGTCATTATTCTCAATATAAATGCCAAAAACCGACACGATCCCTAACTATGTAATTCGCCAACTAACTTTGATAGTGCCTAAAAAAAGACTTTTGAATAGTGATGCACATAGTAATTTAAGAGCGTTGCTGCATTATTCTCCCTCTCAAAAACGATTTCAATATAATTTTCTAAAAATCAACGCTTCAAATCTCAATTTTATTGGTTTCATTTCTGTGTGGGTTCAAATGTGATACATTCTGACCTTGTTGACAAATATATTGTTATAAAACATTGTTTCATTCTCATCTACCCCCCCCCCCAACAGAAATGCAGGAACTGGGTCTAAGCATAGTTAGCCCAAGCTTAACGAGCTCAAAGTGATAGACGCTAATTTCAAAATACATTCCTAATAACTAAGCTCCATCTTTCAATTTTCTAATTTCTACACGTAGAGTGGCTTACTGTAAGGGGAAAGAACAGTAGTGGAACAGCTCAACATCAGTACCATTTAGACGACTCCTTACGGAAGTGTGCCTCAATAAGCTATATGAAGGCGATAGGCATGAAATATAGCAAGCTAAGCCCACTCAAATTGGCTGCTGGTTCCAAGCAATATATAAAGATAGTCCAACATGAAGCTGAAAATAAGGCGT